TTCCGTCTCTTGGCTAAAGGGTTTGCGTCCAATAGAATTATAGAATGTATGCTGAAGAGAAGCTATGAAGGAGGGGTATGGTTCTGGGGAAAGTAAGGAAAAGAAAAGAAATCACAAGATGAGCAAGCTGGGGAAGGAAAGAGGGTACGCAGAGTAGGATGAAGATGAAACAGTTTGGGGAAAAGTCGTGACCAATGAGAGCAGAGGGGGTCCACGAAGATTCCAGGGTCAGCACTAGTTTTCCTGATTGTGGGGATGTCACTGGCAATAAACTGCTCAAATACTGAAGTCCCTAAATCACTGGGGAAGCATGTTTAAATCTCTCCAGGCTGAAAGGTGTGGGTTCTGGAAAACAGACAACAGGATTTTAGGATTGGGAGGGATCCCAGAGAGCCACTGTTTTCTTTCATAGATAAAGCAGGATATGCCCAGGTTTATTAAGTGGTTGCAAAACATAGCAGTGCTCAGGCCAGAGCCAGGGTCCAAAAGCTTACCCCTGACCTCTCTCTCAGGCCTGGCTTGAGTGAATCAGTGGCACAGACAGGCCCTGTCCTTTGGGGATGCTTCTGAAAGCTGAAAACCTGGTTCTTGGGGGCCTTTCCACAGCAGTGCAGAGCGACTGACCACAGTGCACAGGGGTTAAAGTCTTATAATCCACCTACACAGATGTCAGCCAGAAATTTCGTTCAGATAAATGAAAGAGAAATAGGCTGAAAGATTGTGACTGCCCAGGTCAGACAGGCTGCCACCCAGGGAGAGCCTTGGAAGCCCATTTGGTCTCTGGAAGTATATGTAGCTTCCAGGCCTTATTAATTCACCCAGGAAGGGAGAGTCAGGTTCCTGGGAACTCCCATGAGGGCCCTGTTCAAAATGAGTTTAAATCCCTGGACAAGGAGGTTTTAACCAGCACTGACTGGCAGGATCTAAGAAAAACAAAAGGAAATGTGGTTTATAATGTATCTGTGCAACAAACAACACAGAGGCATTACACAGGAAATTCTCCACCTGTGATGATGGCCCCTCTCATAAAACTGCCTCTCCTTCTCCTTCATGGGAAGGGCCCCTGGTAAGCACAGGAAGGTAATTACATGCACTGCACAAGGATTGCAGGAGATTGAGGGGGCCAGGCATTTGAAACTTAGGCAGAAGGTACTGACCCTGTATTGCATCTCAGCCCTCCAGCTTCCTGTAGGGCCTCAGGCAAGTGAACCCAGAATCACCCCACAAGAAGGGATCACACCTGGCAGATGACCTCCACGGCAAAACCTGTCTTGTTAAAAAGTCAATGTTGTTGTTGTTCAATTGCTAAGTCCTGCCCAACTCTTTGCAACCCCATAGATTGTAGCCCACCAGGCTCCTCTGTTCATGGGATTGTCCAAGCAAGAATACTGGAGTAGGTTGCCATTTCCTCCTCCAGGTGATCCTCCCAACCCAGAAATCTCTTATGTCTCCCGCATATCAGGTGGGTTCTTTATCACTGAGCCACTGCTGCTCCTGCTGCTAAGTCACTTCAGTCATGTCCAACTCTGTGCGACCCCATAGACAGCAGCCCACCAGGCTCCCCCGTCCCTGGGATTCTCCAGGCAAGAGTACTGGGTTGGGTTACCATTGCCTTCTCTGCACTGAGCCACTAGTGAAGCCTAAAAAGCCAATGAGATGGTTCATAATTTTGTTCCCTGGATGCACCTGTGTATACGCTTCTCCCCAACTAGAGGGCAAACTTTCCAAGAACAGAAATTCATGTATTCATTCCACCCATCTTTATTAAGTACCCCCAAACAGGCCTTTGCACAAATGGAGAGAATAATACACGTTAGAGACAAGGGACGAACAGCCAGGAGGAAAGTCAGGGAAAGTGGTGATGAGGGAGTGTCTGGATTCTCAGGGGCTCGGGGCTCTGAACAGCGGTGCTGGGACACTCCTGCCTCACTCTCTGCCCCAGAACTCAGAAAGCAGACGAGCAGGGTTTGGAAGCTGTCCAGAGGAGATCTACCCTTCTGAAACTTATTGGCCAGAGAGCAGCTCCGGGGCCAGCCCTCATCCCTCTCCCAAGGGAGATCCCGCTCGACTGGGGTAGGGGTTCAAAAGACACTGCACTTGGCCTTGAAGGCCTGGAGGAGGGGCTAGGGACTGACCGCGACAGCCTCGGGCTCGGCGCCAGGTGAAGAAACACTGGAGATGATGCCACCTGCTGGCGAGGGGCCCGGGTTCGCGCGGTGGGCGCAACCGAGACCCGGAGACCGGATGGGCAAAGAACAAGAATTCGAGCGGTTGTTCAAGTGGCTGGTCTTCTGCTGCCTCTTTAGGGTCTCCACCTCCTCGGGCCGAGCCCGGAGACTCCGGACGCCGAGGTTTCCAGCGGGGGCGGCGGGCGTCCTCCCCCAGCCCCCTCCTCTCGCGGCGCTCGGAGGTCTAAGACTCCGCGCTTCTCCATCAGGTGGAGCAGTGCTCCTCGCCGCCGGTCTCCCCCGCTCCCTCCTCGCCGGCGAACTGCACGCAGGCACCTAACAGCGCCAGGAGGTTAACCGAGCCCCCGGAGGAGGTGAAGCCGAGGAGCAGCCCGGGCGGAGGTGGCGGGGCCGCCGTCGAGGCTGGCGCCAGAGCCCGGCCGGCTGTGAGTCCTGCAGGTACTGCTGTGGTTCTCGCTGCCCCACGTGGTGGCTGCCGAAGACTGCCCGTGGTTTTTCCGGCACGCAGGCTTGAAACGCCTTCTGGCCCTTTTAGAGGCAGGCAGCTCACCACTTAATCCAAGCTTTTTTTCCCTTTCTGCCGGAGACCGGAGGCTGAGGGGCGGGGGCGGAGGGGCTGGAGGAGGGAACAGGCCCAGCTGGCTGGGGTGGGCTTGGGGGAACCGAGGCCAGACTGAGTCAGGAGGCTAGCCACAGGGACCAGGGGGTGAGGGAAACCAGGCACTCCCTACCTCGGAATCGCCCTCAACCCTCTTCTCCTGATCCAGAGTTAATGTGTGGGGGTTGCAGGTGCCTGTATGTGAGCCTGATTTGGGTGGATTGCACAGGTCATGACCCTGGTCTCCTGACCCTGGTTCCTAGTATTTATTTCCTTCTGGGGCCGAATTAAGCAAGTCTGGGCCCCAGGCCACTTAAGAATTAGCAATCAGAATTAACTACAGCTTAAAGGATGAATGTCAGTTAAAACATCAAATGTTGCTTTGTAAGGCACAACCTATATTCTATAATTTGTCTTAGTCACAGCAGGGTTGGCCTAAAGAATGATGCCCAGACCTGAAATTTCGTCCTGCCTGTATAGAGTCAGTGGAAAGCTCCTAGTAAAAGCACGTTTCTATATGTGCTGTGTTTTCACTCTTGATATGTTATTTGACATGTTATTTAGAATTACTGTTCATCTTTTGCATGTGTTTCCTGATTGGCTCTTCTGTTTTGTTGCATTGTTAGAGCAAGTCCCTGGACTAAGGCAGTGCTGACACTTTATTTAGATACCTTGTTTGCAGTTTAGCTGATGGGGTGCCTCTTTTGGGTCTTCTTAGTTTCCTTTGCTCAGCATTTCTCCCCCCCACCCCCCAAAGCTTGCTTACAAATTCCCCTTTGATATGTTTAACAGCCTCTAAGGGATGCAGTTAAATAAACTATTAAGTGAAGAATAGAAGATTCAACAGAGCAGACACCTACTAATTTGTAGACCTTTGATGTCAACAACCAGATGTCAGCTCCTACTAGCACACACTTTCACACGTGCCCCTTCTCTCTTTCTTCTTCATAAATACTAAGGGATGCATTTTTTTAAAAGTTAAGATCCACATGGAAATTTGGAGTTAGAATGTACCTTGCAATCAGCAAAGTCCCCCAAATACATAATACTTATAAGCTAAGAGTTTCCCCAAAGACCTCTCCAGGGTCCAGTGACTGATGAAAGAAATGATTGATTTTATAATTGCACGACACAAATCAAGCAAGCAACTTTCATTTCCCTCTCGTTATTCATTACCCCCCCTTCTTCTGCATACTGCTGTACATTTTTATTTCTTGCTTTGTAACTATCCTTATAGTTAGGTGTGTTCCCTGATTTGTAACTACCCTTATAGTTATAGCTGTTCCACACTAAATCGAGCTCCTGAAGGCATGGACTGTGCCTGTAATTTTATTTCCCCCAATGCCCTGCTTATACCAGGCATAGCTAACTGTCTATCAAGTAAATAGACCTAGATAAATTTGCTTTGATATCCAGGAGAAAATAGAGTTTGATTGGAATGTGAGTTTGGTGACAGGTAAAAAAAAGACCTGAAGGTTCTTAGGAGGCACTGCCTATGACCTTGGCCTCTCCTTCGCAGTAGGATTCACAGCACCTCTTGGAAAAAAGACATACTCAGAGGGATGAAGCGCTCCTTACAGGAGATCTTCCAAATGTAAAACCAGGCAGCTCCCCATCCTTGGTAGGAAATGCACAAACCAGGATAATAATAATCAAGGGGCAGGTGTCACCCATATACCTGTTTTCCCTCTAGTTCCTTCATTTTGTTTTCTAGCATTATCGCAAAGAAAAACCAAGGTGTAAACATCCCCATTTTATTACTGAGCCCCCCTCCTAGGAAAGTCTCAAAAATGCAAACCATGCTTGTCTCTTCCCCAACTCGGAGACTCCCGCTGCACACACTGGCCGAGTCTTTCCTGGAGAAAGGTGGACACCCCCGCGCCCCCGCCCCCCACCTCCCGTGCAAAATCAAGGCAGGCAAATTGTTATACTGTGGCTAGGTACATCCAGCCATTCTTAACTTCACTCCTTTAAACAACATTATGTCCTGTGGACAAAAAGTCACAGCTCCGCTCCCTGTTCAAAATGCCTTTTGGTCAGTGAAGGTGACAAAAGCTGAATTTCCCCCCATGTAGGGGGAGAAACAGAAGGAAAGAAAGAAAGGAGCCTCCCCCTCCACCACCAGCACACCCTCCTTTTTGCATAGATCGCCTTCCTCCGAGTGTTTCCTCTTTAATTATGCCCCGTTTCCCCTCCCTCTCCCCCCTCCCCAGCTTCAGTGAAAGGAGCCCTTCTGTCACTCGTCACTCGCTCCCCGGCTCGCTCGCGCGCTGGCTGTGGGAGGAGCCGCCGGAGGAAGCTGGGTGCCTCGGATGCCGAGCGCCAGAGGATGGAGCTGCTCCGAGAGGGGACGTCGCTGACGAGCCCGGCTTCCCGAGGCGGCTAGAAAACAGGCAACTTGCCTCGTCTGGGCTGCGGATCCCGAGAGGCGCGGAGCCCCGGGCCACCCGGAGGGACCGACGGACAGACAGACAGATGGTCGGCGCGACCCCGGGAGGACCGCGGCGGAGGTTGAGCACCGCGAGCCGCCCAGCAGGAGAAACTCACCGCGAACCCAAGTTGCCCCGCCGGCTTCCCCTCGGCGCGCGGAGGAATGAGACCTTTCCAGCTCGACCTGCTCTTCGTCTGCTTTTTCCTCTTCAGCCAAGGTAGGACCTCTGCGCCGCCCGGAGTTGCAAAGAAAGTCGGCGGGGTTGTCAGGGCTGCGGGCAGGAATGTGGGCAGGCTTCGGGAACTCGAACTGATGGATGTATCTCCCGGTGCCCGGCCGAGAGGCACTGGCATCGCCTCTTTGCCTTTGAAAATGCAACAGAATGGTACTGTTTATTTTCCTTCGGAAGGCAGGGCTGCGGGAGAGGAGGGAGGGTGACTTTCTCCCCTCACTTGTCAACATCCAGCTCAAACTCTCCAATGCAAATGAGTTCTTTATGCTCCCTGTATGTTAATTAGGCGGCATCTCTGTGGCCGTGCGGTGCGGTTCTGAACTTCTGGGCGCCTCCTCTCCTCCAGACGCAGGTTGGAAAAGGAGAGGGTCGGGAAGGAGAGCTCTGTTGAGGTGGCTATTTCAGCTCGAGGAAGGTCTGGCTTGCACGGGTGTATTCGGAAGGGAAGGCGTGCGGAGGGGGCTGCGATGACCGAATGGAGCGTGGGGGTGATGTGCAGCGTTTTGGGAAAGCTTCTAAAGAGTTTCATTGCGTGTCATCCGCTTCCCTGAATTAGAGTGCATTCTGAGTCCTACACAGCGTTAGATTTCAGGGCAGAAAATGAAATCCCCCCCCGCTCCTGGTGCAGACGCTTCCTCTCTGCAGCCTAGTAGTGGCAGAGAAGTCGGTGGACTTTCTCAAAAGAACTTGGCCCCCTTGGGCAACCTGCCCCTGAGAGCCGCCCTGGGGCCAGTGGCCGTAGAGGGAGGGGAGGATCATTCCGGAAAAGGATGGCGAGAGTGCCCTGATAGCCGGCGGCATCCGGAGTCACCTGTGGAATTGAGTTTGAGGGACTAGTCAGCCGGTTCCTTTCCCCTCTCCTGGAATGCCGGGTGCTGTCTCTGCCATCTGAGGTGGCGTTTGTGCCAGCCAGCACAGCTCTGGGAGGAACGGGACTCTCTCCGAAAAATCCACAACAAAGCACATCCATCTGTTGATTAAATGAAGGGTAAAAGTTTTCCAGAAAGCACAGCACTGCTATGGGTGGCTGGCTCTGCAAGCAAACAGCATGTCTCCAGCCCTCCCCCTGAAAGGGAGAAGCCGGATGAAAGCTGAAACCCACGCCTCCTTCCCCGGCTCCTCCACTGGTGCTTGTGGTCACTGCAGATTTCCCCCTTGTCAAACTTTGCTTCTGACCCTCCTGATTTAACCTGGGGCTCTTCCCCGACCTGGGTGTGCAGGTGAGCCCCTGCTTGTATATAATCCTGATGTACACACGCGCACACACACACACTCACTCGTGTATTCATGTGGTTGTGTTGCCTCTCGCCAGGGCTCTGTATAGCAGCAGGAAGATAAATTGCCTTCCCCAGAGTTTTCGGGCTGAATGAATAAGGACTATCTTAGAACACTGGTATAGAAACAATTTGGGTTCTATTACCACTTGGGGAGGTAACCCTCCTTCTTGAATATGTTTGTGCTCACTTATAGATACCTACAGCAACTCACATGCTCACTCTCCTGGTTTGCCTCTTAACATTCACTCACTCAGGAAGTTGCATGTAGAATTCCCCAACAGAGGATCTAACTGTCCCTCCCACACCAGGTTCCCCCGGCCAGTGCACGTTTTACTGTGTCCACTGATGGTGCTAGAAGGGTGAGCTGAGACTCTCCTCTAGGTTGACAAAAGAAGCCTGTAGATGTCTAAGTGCCTCTCTGACTGTTGGAATCATTGCAGCGTCCATCTTCTACTTTGCTTATTTCTTTCTGGGTATGGTGCTATTTTTTGAGCTGCCTCATATAAATCTTTAAATATATGGAAGTTAAATGCCCTGTTTCTTCTGCTCTTAGCCCTGAGGGCAGTGGGAAGGAACCACAACATCAAGCAGTTCAGAGTTCCTTGCTATTCCTGACTGTTCTGCGCTTGGCCAGCTTTGCCCATCCTCCCAGATTGTAGATGCATAGTCCACAGAACTCCAGAACAGGGAGTTCTGGAGAACTCCTGGACTCCAGAACAGGTCTAAAGAAAGACAAGGGGACCTAAGTGGACCTGGCCAATGAGAACCCTCTACATCACTGAACACTGTACGGTAGGGTCCTTAAGTCGACAGTGTCCGACTGCAGAAATGAAGGGTCAAGTGGGACAATGTTTAATGGACTTCACTGGGATAGAAGATCTTTTGACTCTATCGGGGGCATTGATGTGAATGTGGATGTTGTTTGTAGGGCTGTGAATTCCCCAGAGAGTTCTATTTGACCCTCTACCCATGTATGCTTAGGGCATATACTATGCCAACCTCTGCCTGGTGCCATACATTTATCAAGTTATCAGATACAGCATATCCACTTTCAACAGGTCACTAGAGGACCCCCTCCCCAGGCTCTGGGTGATGCCCTCTCTCATCCCCCTGGCTGCGGTTGCACCCCACCCAACACACACACCGAGCCACACCATCGGATGCCATTTCCTGCTTGCCTTCCTCCCAGGATGCTTTCCAAGGAAATGTGCTGATACTCAGGGATGGCCCGTCACTCAGAGAAAACAAATGCCCAGGGCTCTTTTAAGAGCCTTCTGTGGCCCTCTAGTGACACATCCATCTGCTGTCCCACACCTCTCACAATGGGAACCTACACGTCATTCTGGAGTCACTGGAAACAGAACTCTCATGCATCCCACACAGAGAGGGTGCTCCAAACATCGCTCAGAAGATTTTAAAAGCAAAACACTTAGGTCAACTCTTAGAGTCATTTCAATCCTCCTTTCTCTTTTAGTATGTCAAATATATTTATTCACCGTTACTTTTTTTCATACCCCCTCTTTAGAGAGTGAAATTTAGGTATCATTTGTGTTAGTGATATATTATAGCCCTAATCTTGTAAACTTTGGGCTTTTCATATAGACTGAGATTAAGCATGTGTTGATCACTCTTGAGGTGGCTATAGAAAGGCCAAATGGCATGCCTCCGTTCCCGCCCAGCCAGTGTCCCCAGGCCCAGCTCCCCACAAGGCAGTGGAGAGGTGTCAGCGAGTGCCGTTTGAGGGGCTGCTGTGCTGGGGCTGCCTCTTCCTCCGCTGGCAGGACGGCGTGCTCCGTACAGAGAGGGATAATGTCACAGCACAATTTGCCTCCCGCAGAGAAGAAGCATGTTCTGCCCCTGGGTGAAAAGGAATTGATTCTCTTGTCATCCGCACACTTAGAACTTGCTCTGTCTTCCACTTTATCATTTTGGTTTGCCCACCACGATTTCCTTCTGTGCCTTCCTTCATCTTCCAGACCTGGCCCATCCAGCCTACACATCCATGTTGTAAATGTCTTTGGAGAGACGATGTCCCAGCAGGACTGGGGACACCCTGCTTCCTGTCAGATCTCGGGTTCTGAGACCGTTCAGGGAACACGTGGTGGTACAGATTCAGGCCCTCCTACTTTGGCGGCTCCTGGGAAACATGCCCTCTTGCCTGCTCTGTGACGCTTTGTTCTAGCATCGTCCTGTCCTGCACGGTGACTTGCTGAGTCTGAAAGTTCTAATTCTCGGGAGTCCACTCTCTGGTTGGCTTTGCGTGTACGCCGTGCTGCTCTGGATGTGTTGGGGCAAAAGTGAAACCTTGCACTTGCCCATCAGTGGCATGTCTGAGTTGAGGATTAATCCGGGGTGCCATCTCCCTATTGGGAAGAATCTCAAGCACTTGCTGTCCTGACTGGCTCGCAGAAATCACCAAGAAGGGCTGTCAGATGGCCATCAGGGGGGCAGAGGTTCTTGGTGACGCGAATCTCCAGGGAAATAGAAGAGCAACACGCAGAGAGAGGGTAAAATAGGGTGTAAGAGGAGAGAGGGGGCCAGGCTGAAGGGGGCCAGGCTGTGGGCGACAGGAGGCGTGAGAACAGAGGAGCAAGGACCAGAGGCTTCAACTGGCAGGAAACTCCCTGGGTGAGGATGCTTAGAAAACAGCACGAGCGTGTCTGAGGCAGCCAGGAGAATGGAGGAGATGCTGGGGGCACAGGCTGAGAGGGCGTTACAAAAGGAAACTAGGAGTGAGCAGCAACTTTGGAAGCATTTATCATTACTCAGAAACATCATAGAACAAAGGATGGGGCAAGGAATAAGTGTGAGGCTTCCCCCACTGGCACCCCAAGTGGTCTGATGGCTTGTCTAGAGGGGTAGAGTCAATGCACAGATGCCAAGGGTGTGGGACCACTTCTTTCAGAGACATCCTGGGTGATGAGGACTGGGGCGTGTCTGTTGGGTCTGGGGGTGGTCACAGTGTCTGCTGCCTAGCGGGGAGTTCTCAGCTGCCAGCCAGACCTATAGAGGAAGGAGGAGAAATGCTCTCTCTCCAGGGGGAGAGGGGCGTGGGCTGGGGTCAGGGCCTTCACACTGCACTTAGGGTCCCACGGGGGCCTCCCTCTGGGGTTTGGAAGACAGATCTTGCTTGGAACAGGGCAGCAGTGAGCCATGCTTGCCACCAAGGAGCCTTCTGCCTGGTGTGCATGTGTTGGTAGGAGCCAGGGCCAGCAGGGGACCGGGTGGAGCAGGGCAGTATGCCTGAAGATGCAATTTTTCTTTTTTGTTCAGCCCAGTGGGGGTGACTTAGGCGGCATTATGTTTGCAGCCCCAAAAAAGCACATGAATAATCCCTAGTGAATTCAAGAGATTTCAATAGCAAAATAATAACAATACTAATGATTCCTTTGATTTGCAGAGTACTTTTCTTCCAAGGAGATAAAAAGATAAACTGTTTTGGAAACATGAACGAGGAAAGAAAATTGCCTGTGATGGAGGATTGGGGAGGAGGGTCAGGAGCATTCATTTTAGGGACTCCGGGTAATTGGTGGGGGGAGGGGTTTACATGGACTTAAGCATCATTTCTCAGCTGTAGTCCTTATCCGTCTAAGATGCTGAGATATCTTTTGGGTGAAAAATCAGTGCAGGCCTTGTAAATCAAGGTCAGTCTAGAAATAATGGCACCCTAAAGTCCACTGCTGCCCCCCACCAGAAATAGGCCTGTTC